TGCTGTCGTTTGCCGCTTTCGCCACGCCGGCCACTCCGCCGATCAGGGATCCGAGGGCGCCCAACATTGGCAGAATCGGCAACATGCCGCCTCGTTTCGCAGTCGGAAGTATCCGTTTTTTCGTTGCAGGTTTTTTCCCCCTCGTCTTCTTCTTCTTCTTCATGCCCATGCCGATCTTGGTCTTGGCTTTCATCGCTGCCCAGATAGCGGCGGCTCTCTCGCCCAAAGCCGAATCTCTCGCGGTAACACGTTTTCGCGCCTCCGTGGCGAGTACCTCGTCCGCCGCGTGCCTATCGGCGAGATCGTTGCTTCGAGAATACGCGATGTTGTGCTCGCGGCTCGCCGCGTCCAGTGGATTCACTCCCGCGTCGTCTCTGGCCAATCGTTTCCTCAGTCGAGTGTCGGGGCCGCAAAACTGGTAGCCGGAGATATGTAACTCGAAAGGAAGCGCGTTTATCGCCCGATTTAATAGGTTCTTCGCTGACATTTGCCGCAATTCTTTATCAGAGGCGACGGATCGTCGATGTGCGTCTGCTGACTCGCCAGGTTGTAGTGCTTCAGGCACCGGCGGTACCGTTGAACCTCCGAATCGGCTCGTATGTGCTCGAGCAGTCTGTCCCACAACAGATCTATGTACTGCTTGCACTCTCGCAGCAGAATAACCTTCGGTACGTATTCCAGCTCGGCAGAGGTCAAGCTGTGCAGACGGTCCGACGCGACGATGAACATGTCGATCACTGAGCGATTTCGCTCGGTGTGTCTCTATAAATAGTTCCGCTCGCGGTGTCGTTTTTCAGTCGCGAGTATGCGGTTCGTGCGTCAGTCGCGCACTATCGAGGTGTCGAATCTCGACGCCAAAGTACAGACGGAGAAGGAAATGCGCAAGCATGGAAACATGCTGCCGAGTACTATACGCGCTATCGTCTGCGGCCCGTCGAACTGCGGCAAGACCAACGTGTTGATAAGCTTGCTCGAGAGCCCGAACGGCGTACGTTTCGAGAACGTGTACGTATACTCGAAATCGTTGCAACAGCCAAAGTATCGCTACCTCGAAAAATTGCTGATACCTATCGACGAAATCGGTTACTTTACGTTCTCCAACAACAGCGACGTCGTTCCGCTGAACGAGGCGCTACCGAGATCTATCTTTATCTTCGACGACGTGGCGTGTGACAAGCAGAATGCGGTGCGAGAGTACTTCGCGATGGGCCTCTACGCCGACGTTGATTGCTTCTATCTCTGTCAGATGTACGCGAGGATACCTAAACATCTGATACGCGACAACGCGAATCTGCTGATTCTGTTCGAGCAGGACGGTACAAATTTGAAACACGTTTACAACGATCACGTGAACACCGACATGTCGTACGACGAATTTCGCGCGCTGTGTCGCGAGCTTTGGCGATAAAAGTACGGATTCCTAGTGATAGATAAGGACAGTGCGATTGCAAACGGAAGATACAGAAGAGGATTTAACGAGTTCGCGATACCGTAACGCAATCATTCGTCGTTCCTACCTCGACTGAGTCGAACATGGCTAATGAGCGTGAAAAAATCGCGAGGGAGATCGAGGGGACAAGCGAGTCGATCCGCAAGAAACACCGCGCTCTGAAGGGGGGAAGCTGGTCTAGAGCGCGAAAAAATGGGCATATTTTATGAATTTTTTGTGACTCAACAAAAGGATCAACCGAAAATCTGTGAAATAGGTTTTATAATATAGGTTTTAAAGAACAAATACAAATTTTTTCATGTTAAAGTTGAAGACTATTCAGGTTAGGAAATCTGTCATACCGACTACATATCTGGAGACACGGTAGTGTCTCGGCGCTAAGCCAAGCGCGCGACACTGCCGTGCCTTCTTTACGCGAAACTGAGAATTTTTTGGGATAGAGATGATCATATCTCAGTAACGGCTGAATCGATCAAGTTCTACATACGCTCAATCGACAGGAAATACTTAAATTGTAGGATAAAAATATAGTACTACGCGTATGCCCTCTTCACTCTCTGACCACATGCTCATGCGTTTAGCCACGAAATTTAAAATCATACTAAATGATGAATATTATTTCTGCTATATATGCATGATGTTAAGTACTACTATTCTACACCTTTCCCCGTTCAGAAACGATAAACTTCGCTTCACGTAGAAAGTTCAACGTTTCTGAACAGGGAAAGATGTAGAATAGTACATCATCAGGAGACGCGGTAGCGTCTCCGGCCATGCTCAAAAACTGTGAGACGCTACAAGTCTCTTATCCCGAGCCATCAAAGTCCATTTTTGGGAGGTGCATAACTATTAAAATATAAAAAATTGTGAATCAAACGTTATACGTCCTGAAAGGCGGCATCACCACGAGTAATTTGAGCCTAAAAAATTTTAAATAGGTTAAGCCGTTCTGGAGATATAAGCGGTCAAAAAGTGGTAATTTTAATGAAAAATTAAGAAACGTCTCCTTCTCCTTCTCCTTCTCCTCCTTCTCCGTCCGCATTTTTAAACTTTTAAAACTTTTCAACATCCTCTCTCACCTTTCACTCGCACCTCTACCATCTTTGGCCCACCGAACCTCCTCTACTCGCCCCTCCCCCTCCCCCACCACCCACTCCTGCCACCCCTCTCTTTCGCTGTATTTAACACTCTTCCGTTATTTCAATTTTTTAACATCCCCTCTCACCTTTCACTAGCACCTACACCATCTTCGGCCCACAGGACCTCCTCCACTCGCACCTCCCTCTCCCCCCGCCACCCACCCCCGCCATCCCTTTCTTTCGTCGAAATTCACTCTTTATCGTTATAACAACTTTTTGACATTCTCCCTCACCTTTCACTCGCACCTCCACCATCTTCGGCCCACCGAACCTCCTCCACCCGTCCCTCCCTCTCCTCCACCAACCAACCCCACCACCCCTCTCTTTCGCCATAATTCACTCTTCTTCGTTATTACAACTTTTTAACAACCTCTCTCACCTTTCACTCGCGCCTCTACCATCTTCGGCCCACCGGACCTCCTCCATTCGCCCCTTCCCCTCTCCCTCCTCCCACCCTCACCAACCCTTCTTTTGCGCCGTATTTCACTATCTTTCGTTGTTACAACTTTTTAACATTCTCTCTCACCTTCAACTCGATCCTTTACCATATTCGACCCGCCGGACTTTCTCCCCCGCCCCTACCCATACACCATCAACCACCGCCGCAGGCCCTTTCTTTCGCCGTATTTTACATTTTTACGATATTACAACTTCTTAACATCCTCTTTAATCTTTCATTGGCACCTCCACCATCTTTGGCCCACCGAACCTCCTACACTTGCCCCTCCAACTCCCCCCGCCACCCACTTCCGCCATCCGTCTCTTTCGCCGTATTCACTCTTTCGCGTTATTACAATTTTTTATTATTCTCTCTCACCTTTCACTCGTACCTCCACCGTCTTCGACCTACCGGACCTTAAAATATTAATTAAAATAAGAACCCGACTACTGACTGGTACGACAAATATTTAAAAAAACAAATTTTGAAAAACTTATTTAATTGTAAAAAAGTTTATTAAAAAAATTTGTTTTAAATATGAAGGTAATAAAGAAAATCGATGCGTTAATATTAGACGGTTAGTGAAAACAATCTTAGGGAGTGTTTTGATGTGGAAGGGCGGATGCGTGCGAGTTTCATATCCCTTCCTCACTCGGCTCACCAATAAACCGAGCAGTCATCTTTTAAATACATATTAAATAAAATTACTGTTTTAAATACTCCCGACTGTTGACCGATATGACGTATATTTAAAACCATCGCAGTACTATCACGAGTTAAATTGTATATTACCACGAAAAGTAACTGATTATTATTTAAAGATGCCAGTACAAAGTGGACATACATAAAGTGTATGTAACTTTCGGCCGATTTTCGAATTGCCTCCTCTTTCCGCTGTACCACTCACGTCATATTAAATACATATATACATATTTGAAATATATATTGTAAATAATAAAATTATTTTTAATACTCCCGACTGTTAACTGGTATAAGAAACATAAAATAAGCTTTGAAAACTTATTTAAAATAAAAATTATTATTTTTATTAAAACATGTGTTTTAAATAACTTAATTTTTTGAAAATAAAAGTGGTAAAAAACGTTTAATCCTTTACAGAATTAAATTTAAAGAATTAATTACATAACTGGTACACTCAGTCCTTCATTTTTTAAATAGTTTTTTATAGGATATAGTAATTTGACTTTAAATTATTTAAAACAGAATGAAATCTAACCAATTAGTATTTTATCGCTTTGAAATGTAATTTTAACAGCACGAATATTTTAATTAATATGATAATGTAATAATATGCACCGAAGATATACGATCACGTTAATGAATAAATAAAAATAAAAACCCCCCGCACCCACACCGTCGTCAGAGGTCTGCCTCGACAGTACTATCATAGCAACAGTACAATCGCAGAAGTCGTGTGCCCCTGTGCAGGAGGGTGGGGGTAAAAGTTACTTTGCGTGGAAAGTTCAACGTTTCTGAACAGGGAAAGGTGTAGAATAGTACTTCATATCATAGGGGAGACTGGGGCATATTGGCGGGTGGGGCACATTGGCGGTTTGCACTTTAATCAAATTCTGCACATTAGAAAATTCTATGCATCACATAATATATTCATTACATCTAGCTGCATCGCATCACCATAACAACGTTTTGTTGATCGCACTGAGTTTGGTTATAGTTCGGGTTGATTGATATGGTACACGAAATGTAACTATTGACCTTTTATTAGACGATCGTTTTTCTTTGTATTACAACTGATATCTGAGTAAGTGTTAGTACATTGTTATTTCTCTATTTTCCGTCTATAGAACCTATATCAGTAATATTGTAATATATGTATATGATATTACGAAAATTGCGTTCCACCTATAAACTTGGGATGGGGCATGTTGGCGGGTTTTGCATGGGGCACATTGGCGGTATTAATCCTATATAAAAAAAGTCATCTTAACCAGGGCCTCGTAACTCCCCTCTTGTTCTGGCGTGACCAGCGTTAGTGGCGCCGCCGCTGTATGACACCCGGAAAAACAGAACTAATATTCAATATGGCCGCTATATATATATATGTTGTTATAGCATATATATCCGATATATATGGTGTCTCTGATCACCCGTAATCGGGATGCACTACAAGATCAAGCGTTTTATTCTGAATTTATCAAACCTAATAATTTGTTGATACGCAATATGGTTAATATAAATTAATTATTAATTAATAATTAAATAATTTTGTTGTATGCATAACGTAACTTGGTCGATTATGTACTATTATTAAAGTACAAATAATATAATCGACCAAATTACATTATACGTACAACAAAATTAATTAATTTAATATTTAATTTATATTAACCATATTGTGGATCAACAAATTATTAGGTTCGATATAGATTCGGAATAAAACACTTGATCTTGTTATAGTACATCCTGATTTCCTGGGTGATCAGAGACATCCTGTAAGGCCGGAATCAGACTACGCATTGAAAATTGAGATTGAAAATTGAAATTTGACCAATGAGGATAAAGAAATTTTAACTCCTATTATTTTGATTAACCAAAATTCAATCTTTCAATCTTCAATCTCAATCTTCAATGCATAGTCTGATTCCGGCCTAAATATATGTACATATATATATATTATTACGGAGTCATTTACGGATTATTATTTTATGGGTGCGCAAATTGAAATAGTCTACATGCGAAATATGGGTAGCAAGATTATAAATCTTTATTATTGTAAGATATTTATAATATATTCAGTGACAAATCTTATATTTCTTTTGTATAAACGCATTGTATTTAACATAATATATAAATGCATTTTAATATTAACCTTCCAATTCACCGGCTTCCATAGCGTCTTGATAAGATTTAAGTTTTTGAACGTTCGGGATCTAGTTTGATCATATATCATCAAATTTGAATGATGGTTATGGCTGTTCAGTGGCAAATTAAAAAAATTTCATTTTTGAAATGGTCGGTTCTAACACGCCTGCTTTTTAGTTATCTCGTATATTTCCCACGATCAGGATCTACCCTGTAAAATATAAATACATTTCATTTTAATTTTTTATTTTGCATGACAAACTAAAAAAAGGATAAACAACTCACCACTTTAAATCAACAAGATCTGATTTTGTTATACTAAAATTATGATCTGCCACCAGATAAAAGAACGACATTAGTTCCAGCAGCAAGAATCTTCTGAATACGTTCCTTGGTAATAAAACGGGAAAAAAAAACGCTTGATGTAGTACATCCTGATTTCTTGGGTGATCAGAGACATCCTGTAAATATACGTACATTGTATATGCATACGAATTTACACGAATAAAATAATAATAATAAACATAAATAATTACCTTATATATTTTTTTTCTAAACAATTTTCCGTTTCGAGTACTTTTTTGACATTCTTTTTGCTTCATTATACATGTAATTATTTTCATAGTCCTCTTGTAGTTTTCCATTTAATATTTTATTAACAAATATGCACCATTGAATAATGAACTGTTGTGCAGTTTCTTCTACTAAATAATTAATTAGGCTTGGGCAATGAGTGGAAAGTTTGGACAATGCTTCCAAATATATAACACTTTGTAATTTTTTTTTTACTTCAATTGTATAGCAGAACTGTACAAACTGCACTTCTGCAGCTTTTAATGCGTGCTCTATACCTTTTAAGATATCCTCACTTCTCAGACTTTCTATACATTCTGTACATTGCATAATCTTTTTATTTGTTAAAATATTTCGTAGTATTTTTTCTTCATTCACAAACAGATAACCTTTTGTTAGTGGTGGTATTGAAGCCTCTATACATTCAGTCTCTTCATCTTCTTCATCTTCAATATTTTTAGTTGCAGACATCATTGTCGATAAAGATAATGTTATACCTTCGTTATTTTCTTTGCAATTACCGAAAAGAGAATGCTTGGATGTGAAATTTGATACTAAAAGCGTTTTGAAGCAAGCACAGAATTGATATGGGGTGGGATTATTATTTCTGTGTCCCTGATCTCTTATTAGGCTGAAAAAGTTCTCAAGAACATCTTGATTGAGCAATTTTAAATTAAACGAAGAAAATCCACATGTTTGCAGTGTTTCCCACAAAAGTTTTGCGCCTTTTATTGTCCATATCCAATTCTTCAAACATTTGGTATTATGTCATACATATTTATGGCTTTCATTGTCGACAAAATCCATTTTGGAAATTCGATTAACAGCGTTTTGCCAAAATGAAATGTGATTGCTTGATAAGTTAATAATACTGTTAAATTCTTTATTTTTCTTTTGGTTGAAGGAATCGAACAACTTATCAAAGAATAATATTACGTTTCCTGTCATTGCAGCACTCGGCGGTAAGTACATTTCTCCCAGCAAAGTATTTACAAAACCTGAAATGAAAAATGACTGAAGTAATTTAATCATTTTAGTGAGAGAGTATTTTATATTTTTTATATTTTATATTTATTTATTGTGTTATAAAATATATTTTATTATTTATTTATTTATTTATTTATTATTATATAAAAATTGTATTATAAAAATTATTAATATTCATTCATCATTTTATAATAAATACAATTTACCCTTTTTCCATGTAATCACCAAATCAATGAAATTTGCAAAAGTATGGCTAATTACTTGTACGGCATATTTAACTTTCATTTTTGGAATCTGATTGGCGTAAATGTGTCGATCAATTATTTTTGGCATCTGTCGATGTTTCAAAAGCGAATATTTATCCATTTCGTATGCTATTATAATATCTTTCCATGATGCGTATTGTTTTTGTGACTCCTTCTCATATTTATTATTAACCAAATCTTTTGTCAACAAATTATTTCGTATACCTTTTTGTAGGTGTACGTAATCATATAAAGGAACGATCTCATGGTTTTTGAATAGAAATGTATTTTCTACGAGAAAAATAAAGCTTATCAGGATATATTATATGAAAATTTTATTAAGTTGTACATTAATAAAATTAAGTAATAAATTGTTTCATTAATAAAGTTTATAAAATTCAATATTAAATACGATTTACTTGGATTCTTATTCTGTCGACGTCGTACATCATTGCTCTCTTTTATGAACATATTAACAGCTGTAATATTTGTTCCTCCTTGATCACACACGGTTGCCTTTGGTTTAAAACCACAGTTAATGAGGACTATTAACCACTGTTTTATACAGTTTAGTAATTGAACAGTTCGAGTTGCACTTTGACAAAATCCATATCCAAGAGGCATGTGATTACCAGATGCGAGACATCGAATGTAAAATACAATAACATGATCAGCAAATTTTCTAGTTCTTTGAATCCCCCAGTCTTCAAATCCAATTACTTTATCTTGTTTCCTATTATAATGAACAAAAGGTTGCAACGACATTTCATCCCAAATCAATAATACGTTTAAATCTTTGGGATTTACTTCTTTAGCGACTACTTTTAAATATTTTACAATGATTTTATTGCATCCAGATTGGAGAGTAATCTTTTGCAATTGCTTATCTAAAGTAGACGTGGAAGGGCACGGCAAATATTTAGAAATAAATTTATACGCAGCCGTAGATCTTCGGTAAATTCCTAAGCAAAATAACTTGTCTTGAACTGTATAACGTCTACCCTATTATAGTAGAAAAAAACAATAATAATTATATAATTGTATTTTTTTTGTATAATTTTTTACATCAATTTACTACAGTAATTAACATACAAGAAGAAGGAAACCAATAACGGTCAAAGCTGGATCACAAATGCTTATTAAAATTATGTGTGAATTTTATATACTGCGTAGTCCCTCTAATCGCGTGCTGAAAAATTTTTCTTGTATTCTTGAATCTTCTTGTATGTTTATTGTTTATCAATTGTACGGTCTTAAGAAGATTTTAGTATTTGTTACAATAATTAAATTATTAAAAGAAGAGAAATGCTCTAAAAAATTGAACCACATTTCGAATGAAAAAAGAATAACTAAATAAACAATGATTTCAAAAACATATAGAATAGAAATGAGAGGATAAAATCTATCTAAGCATCAATATCATTTATTACCGTAAAAATATTCTAAAATATGTAAGAAATCGTTTGTATACTTCTATTCTTTTATAACTAATAAACAGCTAGTAATATTATAAATATCAAACACGATAATAGGACAATTACAATAAGATCAATTTAATGAGACGACATATATACCTGTGATGGTACATCATTGTTTCTTTGGAGCATATTAATAAAATTCTGTCTAATCTGTAACGTTGAATCAGTATTTCTCTTAGTATCAGTATTTCTCTTAGTACCAATATTTCTCTTTGAATCAGTTTTTCTCAGTAGTCTCTTTAGCCGTCTTTTCTCTCGCTTCATTTTAACAACTTTAAAATACAGTTTCAGGGAGGTAGGACTCAATAAACTTTTACGAGTAATTTCACCAAGAATAGATCTTTCATTGGACAATGTCTTCTTAATACTGCAGATATCATTTTGTTGTTGCATTATTATTTTTGCATGCTGTTGCAATTGATTGTTTTGTCGAGCCAACATTTCTTGAACAGAATTAGTATATTGCTGATCATGTTCGACATTCGTGTCGTCTGCGTGTTGTGGTATATCTTCGACATTCGTATCGTCTGCGTGTTGTGGTATATCTTCGACATTCGTATCGTCTGCGTGTTGTGGTATATCTTCGACATTCGTATCGTCTGCGTGTTGTGGTATATCTTCGACATTCGTATCGTCTGCGTGTTGTGATATATGTTCGACAATCATATCATTTGCATTTTGCGGTATATTTATGGATGGAATAGCAGCTTGTAATAAAATTCTTCTTGTTGAAGATCCACTGTAATCTTTATTACAAAAATGCTTATAACAAATTCTTATTTTCTTAAGATCATTTTCGTTCTCTATTGGTTTCATGTTCAAACTCTCAAACCATTTGTTGCGGCGTTCAATATTTTTTGGAAACATATGAGATGGAATGTTTTTTCCTGATAAACATCCCGGGATACAACATACTCGCACCATCTTATCAAGTCAATTATTAACAATCGGTTATTTATATGCACTGTGAACACTCTAGACACTGCCAGACACCTTCCACTTCTTAATGAATGGCCCGCGACCCGCGACCCACAATCAAATAGATCAAAACGGCCGGCCAGTATCGAAAATGCCGCACAAGGTGGCAAAATCTTGGCGAATCGAATGACACCGCAAAAAATCACTGCCAGACACTTTAAATACGCGTCAATACGCGTCCATGTTGATTGATGTTGATTTTGACAGCCATATTGAATATTAGTTCCGTATTTCCGGGTGTCATACAGCGGCGGCGCCACTAACGCTGGTACCAGCAGTTACGAGGCCCTGATGTAAACGCGAGAAGTTTGCGTTTTCGATCGAAATGTATCGCTCGTATTGTTGACCCTTTTCCGCGTTCGTGATTGGTGGTCGAAGTCGGCGATCGAGTGCGCGGCGAGTTCAGGCGAATCATACGTGCAACGTGTTAAAGTGGCGCGCGCCGTTTTATTAATAATAAATGAATAAGTGGCGCACGCGTAAAAATGGTTCGGAATTATAAAAAGAAGAAAACTACAAATACAGTAAGCGACGAAATATTGATTGATGCTTTACGAGAAGTCAAAATTAATCGAGAAACGTTTAAAAATATCAGTGAAAAATTTAATATACCTTTAAGAACCCTGGAAAGATACAGTAAAAAAGTAGATGTTGATGAGTTATTGAATCCAAACATCGTAAAATTGACATTGAAATTTGGATATTCAAAAATGTCTCAGGTAAATAAAATAGTCAAAGTAGAAAGCAAATAAAGAGTAATAGACAGTAAATAGTAAATAAAAAGTACTCATGTTTAATAAAGTAGTAAATAATTCCGGACTTTTTTTACATAGATTTTTACAGATGAGGAAGAATGTGAACTGACTGAATATTTGCTAAAGGCTGATAGTATTTATTTTGGCTTAACAGTGTTGGAAGCTCGAGTGCTAGCTTTTTCTTATGCCGTAAAATTAAACAAAGCTCCAGAAAATTGGCGCAATAATAAAACTGCAGGAATAGAATGGTTTCGAGGATTCATGCGAAGACATCCGCGTTTAGCCCTCCGAACTCCAGAAGCAACCAGCCTTGCTCGGGCTTCAGGTTTCAACCAACACGCCGTCTCACAATTTTATGACAATTTAGAATTCATATTAAATAGCCATGCATTTGGACCAATGGATATCTGGAACTGTGATGAAACTGGAGTAACGACTGTTCAAAAACCAAATCGTGTTATAGCTCGACGAGGATTTAAACAGGTAGGCAGGATTACGTCCGCCGAACGTGGAGAACTCGTTACACTCATGGTAGCTGTATCTGCAAATGGGTCCTATATTCCTCCATTTTTTGTATTCCCTCGTGTTAAATTTCAAAATCACTTTTTAAACGGAGGACCGAACGGAAGTGTCGGCTGTGCAAATCCATCGAGGTGGATAAAAGAAAATCATTTCCTAGAATTTCTAACACATTTTGTGAAAAATACAAAGTGTTCAAAGGAAAACCCAGTTCTTTTCTTATTGGACAATCATTTGTCACACGTCTCAGTGCCGGGCATTGATTATGCTAGAGATAATGGAATTAATATGTTATCTTTTCCACCTCATTGTAGCCATAAACTGCAAATTCTGGACGTATCTGTGTATGGACCTATAAAAAAATATGTAAATCGAGCTATGGATTGTTGGATGACCAATCACCCAGGCCAGAGAATGACAATATATGACATTCCTGGTATTATAAATGAATGTCTACCGAAGGCTTGCACGCCTTCAAATATAATATCTGGGTTTAAAAAAACCGGCGTAATGCCATTTAATAAGGACAATTTTGATGAACATGACTTTCTATCATCTTATGTTACTGACAGACCAATGACGAGTGAATCTTCATCCACGTCAAAGACACCCACAACAGATCCTTCTAAAACATCTTCAACTATGATTTGTACGACAGGACCTTCACAACCGTTAGAACTATCAACCTTCACTACAATTTCGATGAGAGAGACAAGACCTTCAGAGTTTCCAGATTCTTCAGCATCGATCACAATAGCAGAAAATGAAAATACTGTAGAACAATTAAGACCTCATCCAAAAGCAGGGCCATGAAAAACTTCGAAAACGACAACAAGGAAGAAGAAGAGTGAAATTTTAACTGCTAGTCCTGTACGAAATAAATTAGCAGAAGTAGCAAATGAAATTGCTAAAAGGAAACAAAAGAAACAAGAAAATCTTAATAAAAAATTAATGAAAAAACAAAAACAAAAAGAAAAGTCACCAAAAAGAAAGAACGAGCAAGGACGCGATAGAAAAAAAATTATAAAGAAACATTCAAGAAAATAGTTATTTATTAATGTTATATGTAAAAGTTAAAAAATAATGTTATTAATGTTATTAATGTTATTATAAAGCTTTATTATTAATGTTATTAATGTTATTAATGTTATTATAAAACTTTATTATTATAAAACTAACACTGGCAAATAAATATATTATAGAATTGTTCTTTTCGATATAAGTGCAATGTTTTATTCATGTTGGTAGGGATTGCCGACAATAGCTGCAAGAGAGCTGCGATAATCCTACTCATAAAAAAAAAGATTTCAGCAAACGTTTCGGACAATTTTTTGTAGCAAGAGCGGGAATCAAGCGAAAGTCACATATTTTACTTACGTGTTGCATAAAACATAATTTTTTATTAACCGCCAATTTGCCCCATAATATCCGCCAATGTGCCCCACGCGTGGGGCATGTTGGCGGTTTTGAACACAACGATTGGTTCGTTATTATCTCTCTTTCTAGTAATATTTATAAAATTCCACATAAGGCATTTTATAGGTAGATCTTACACCTTCAAAATGATGCAGTTTATAAATTGTATAATAATATTTAGAATTTTTTAAAAACGGTTTAACAATTTTACCGCCAATGTGCCCCAGTCTCCCCTACATGTATAGCAGAAATAATGCGTTTATTTTAAAACTATGATTGTTAATAACTTTTTAACGAAGGACGAGCGACGGGAATGGTCAATGACCTTGACCTTCTTGAGGGTCAAGGTCAAGGTCAAGGTCACTCGGAAGTCATTTGGGGCTGACTGTGTAATTTGGAATATTTACCCTATTTTTGAACATAGAAATATTCTTTAAGCAAAGAAAAATTTTATTAAGCAAAAAAAGTTTTCCGGAGGTATGAATTACTTTTTATTTACGTAATTTTATCATTTTAAATTTTGTGGTCCCAATTGCTAGTGTTAAAACATAAAAATTTTAAACACATGGAGAAAACAATCTGATTAATCTACACAGAAATCTAGTGATGCCAGATTAAACAATAAAATATGGAACAAACTATTTATGTGGTTGCTTGAACTACAGTACAATGATTGTATCAACTTATGTTTTTAATTGTAAGCGTGGTTTGCTTTTGAAATTGTAACTTAATTTACAGCATGATGTAACAAGAAATTAATTTTTGAATTGAAGATTTGAAGGACTCTTTTATATAATAATAATTAATACGTTAAATAGGGCGAATAAGAGTCAAATTACAATTTAAAATCTAAATCTGATAATTTATTCTAATATTATATATTGCGAAGAATATCACGTAATTTTTGGCGTTTCATCCCGGCTTCCACTACTGGACTCATCAGTAAGGTATTGTAGTGGGAGCATACCTTATACGCCTTGGTAAGTTATTAAATCGAGATTCTATATAGAGATATACGCGTGTCTTAATTAATAAAAATTAATTTTTATTAATATTTAATTTAATAAATACTAGAATCATTTTTACTACCGTACAATTGATGAACAACAAACATGAAGACGTAAACCAATAACGGTCAAAGCCACTAACGGTCAAATGCTGGATCATAAATGCTTATTAAAATTATGTGTGAATTTTATATACCGCGTATGTAGTTCCCCCAATCGCGTGCCGAAATTTTTTTTCCAGACTTACAACGCAACACTAAACAACTACCGCAGTAATATCACTTTTTTAATTAAATTGCCAAAGCAAATCTAACAATTATTTGATGCTTATATAGCATCTTATTAGATCTTTAATAATATGTTGAAAGATATATATTAAAATTGAACGATGTAAACGTTAAAGTAATGATGAATCTAAAATCTGTGAAAAATAAGATTGCGAAGAATATCACGAGTCGGTGTTTCGTTCCGGTTTCCACTACTGGACTCATCAGTAAGGCATTGTAATGGAAACCTACCTTAGACGCCTGTGTAAGTTATAATTCGAAATTTTATATAAAGCGATATACGCATATCTCAGCACTTGCGACAAATTTTTGTGAACATCTATAGACCTCTGATGGCGGGTCGACGTAGTAATATTCTTCGCAATATTTATCTAAAGTAGGAGAATAAGTGTTGCGTTGTAAGCCTGGAAAAAAAATTTCGGCACGCGATTGGGAGAACTACATACGCGGTATATAAAATTCACACATAATTTTAATAAGCATTTATGATCCAGCTTTTGACCGTTAGTGGCTTTGACCGTTATTGGTTTACTTCTTCATGTTTGTTGTTTATCTAATTTAATTTTTATTATACATCATACTTTGTAGAATTATGATTGACGTAACTATACGGATAGATAACTTATCCATAGTAAATGATCCCTTAACCAAGTTATCACAACTACATCAAGCGTAATTACATTAAGAGAAATGAATAAAGTAAATAAATTGTATCAGTTGTACACATTCCTATCATACAAAGATAACTAGTATGATGTAACTATATTGCTCACAACTAAATACTTCTAGTTATGCATGTGAACTATATCTTTTTCCTCTGTACTTTATACATATGTATAATCGATTGCAAACATTATTTTATAAATACAGAAAGCTTCATTTTAATTGATTATCTCCAAAAACTATTTTTAGTTCTACAGAAAAATATTTCAGACAAAATTGTGAACAATAAAATTAATTTTTTAAAAGAATCAGTTTTAATGGTCATATTATGAAGGTCATTGCTATTTTTTAAGAAAAAGGATATAAATCTTTTATATAATGATTTTTGTAATATATTATTTTGCTTATAAAGCAAAAATAAATAAAAGGCTTACAAGATATTATATATTATTTCTAGAGATTGATTAAAATGGGACACCCTCTGTACAATGCATTTTTATTTTTATGCACATATTTTGTAAAAACTAGTTGCCTCTCTTAATATCAATACAAATGATTATGGTAGAGGATCAGAAAACTTAAAACAAATACTTACCTGATATTGCAATAAACGTAAAGCCGTAATCACACTACGGATTGCGCGCTCTGTTGCGATTGAGATTACGGTTGAATATTGGAAACTAACCAATCAGAGCAGAGCAATTCCTGCTCTGATTGGTTAGTTTCCAACATTTAACCGTAATCTCAATCGTAAAGCTGGTTCTACATTAGTTGCAAGTCGATCGCAAGTTCGTTGCAACAGCCAATCTCAAGTTTGCATTTTGAAATCAACGCTTTAGATTGGCTGTCGCAACAAACTTGCGATCGGCTTGCAACTAATGTAGAACCGGTATAACAGAGCGCGCAACCCGTAGTGTGATTACGGCTTAAATGGATTGAAATGAATTGGAATGGATTCACATTTTTAGAAACACACATTCGCAAACGTAAAAATAAATCCTTTTAAATCCGAATGCATTTTTATTTATTTATCCGAATTGCAGAAAGCACATTTCAGTGCCTTCCAATCTAAAAGTAATATCAGCTTTTTTTATAAATTGTAAATACTGCTCAATTCGAAATTCTAAATAGGAAGTGCAGTTTTTTTTTTCAATCCAATTGAATTCATAAGTTGGATCTAATTAAATCTAATTAAATAAAAAAAAATTTGTTTATTCAATTAGATACAAACTGAATTTAGTTCGATTGAAAACAAAAACTGCATTTCCTATTCAAAATTTCAAATTTAGCAGTATTTACAATCCACAAAAAAGTTGATATTACTTTTAGATTGAAAGGCACTGAAATGTGCTTTATGTAATTCGGATAAATGAATAAAAATGCATTCGGTTTTAAAAGGAATTATGTTTCAATTAGATTCACTTGGATTTAAAATGCGCATAAAAGTTTAATTCATTTTGTTGTGTATTGTAGAGAACCTCTAGTAGAGAGAATCGCCAACTTGGTCACGTGACCAATTACGTGATTGGCTGGAGGATGTAACTACCTAACGTTCGATTTGCACGGCGTTAGCTCGTCGGAATATTAGTCCGAGGATTCGAAAGAGGTTCGATCGGTGGGAGAATGCAAGGCAAGTAAAGTCTCAGACAGGTATAAGATAACAAAAACAATCGGATTTATTAAATTCGCCTAAATGGCTTGTATTCTACCGGAATAGATCAAAAGAAACGGCTTAGCGCCGAGACGGTCGCAATGTATATCGGCGAGTGCATGTGTGCGTATGCGTATGCGTGTGTTGTTGTTGTGTGTGAAGCGCAAGCGGCGCGGTGTGTACTTTACAATGCAGTGTGTGTGCTTGTATAAATGCAGAGCGGCTGTGTACGCGTGTATGTGTACGTGTGAGCGAGTGAGGTGTGTTGCTCGCGTCGATGTTATGACGGGCTATGACAACAAAAAAAAGGAGACGGACTCGCTTGGCTCCTTTTTTTTCACGGTGTCAGCTAGCGCGGCTGATCAGCTGGTCGATCTAATTTTAGTACTGTCAATACGGCAGTCTACGGTTCGCGATGCGCGGTTTTCGCGTGTTCGCGTATTTGCGTGAAGACGGGCGATGACCATCGGCCGAGAACGCTCGGCAGAGGTGGAGAACTCTCCACCCCGGGCTATTGATGGTCGATCGCAGTGCGTGAAGCAAAGATGGTCGTTGCACGCTGCACCGAAACGGCTGCCGAGAACGCTCGGTAGAGGCAGAGCACACTCTGCCCCTCGGTTCTTGCCGTTCAGTGCACTAGGATGCCTATTCGGATACCTGCCGAGAACGCTCGGCGGAGCTGGAGCACTCTCCGGCCCGGTTTTCTTGGTGTCTCTTAGGCTGTTAGGATCTCGGATTCGTTTCGGAAGCTTGGTCGGGATCGGAATTCGGAATCACCCGTTTCTTCGGAACGCGGCATTTTTATATTGATGAAAATGCCGCGTTCGTGGGCCCTCGGATTCGCTCGCGTTTTCTCGTTTCGCGATGTGCGGGACTAAGTCCCAGAAGTGGGAGTCCGCGGCTATCGGTCTAATTCGTTTATGTTCGGCGGTGCTCGGCATTGTGCGGCCGTTACTGCCGCTGGTACCTGCGAATTATGCTTTGATTCTTATCGGGCGCTATGCGCCCTCATCACTGCATTGCATAGCAATGCAGCGGCGTTCGACTGGATGGTATGTAGAACGATGGGGGGATGCATCGTTACAAGGAAATGAGCTGATTTGGGCATCTCGACACCAATGCATGACGTCAGAACACATGGCGGCCCCATCGTTCGCGATGAAATATTTACGTCCCGATTAAATGGTCCGAGGTCCGGGAACGCCGTCGGGGTACACGAAAACGAAGAGCTGCCACTGCTGGGGTCAGTCTGCCACGTTCTAAATCTCGTTGTATAAGGTTAGTGATCGTTGATCGACTCTAGTTGATCGTGTTAGTAATTATGTTTTAATATTATTTAAATTTGTTATAAATTTGACGAAATATTAAAGTGTTTATTGGCAAAAATCATAAGTAAACTTTTATTACATAAGAGATGTACATTTAGGTATTGAAGTTTATGTCTCTAGAGTCGATCAACGATCACTAACCTTATACGAAGAGATTTAGAGCGTGGCAGACTGACCCCAGCAGTGGCAGTCTTCGTATTCGTGTACCCCGACGGCGTTCCCGGACCCCGGACCATTTAATCGAGACATAGATATTTCATCGCGAATGATGGGGCCGCCATGTGTTCTGACGTAATGCATTGGTGTCGAGATGCCCAATCTGCTCATTTCCTCCAGCCAATCACGTAATTGGTCACGTGACCAAGTTGGCGATTCTCTCTACTAGAGGTTCTCTAGTGTGTTGGGTATCGTCAGAATTAAAAGACAGCGTATATTGCAATGTATATTATATTACTAACACGGGTTACAATATTACACGTTATGTGCAGTGCGCGTGAACACGACCGGCTCGAAGTTCTCGAATCTTCTCCTTGTTTTCCGCTATCGGAATTTCGTTTCGTGTAGGAACGCACGCGTGTCGCACGCTGATTCGCGGAGCCTTCGCGCGTGCTCCCAAGACGTGGTGCTATAACGCGCACTTATTTAATTTACACTCTAGGCGCGTATCTAACACCTTCTTGTGTTAAGAAAATTCTACTTCACCGCACATTCAGAGAAGAAGTCCGGACACTTTCTAGTTCTAGCGGAACGTCGCAGCGTTTCGACAAATGGTTTCGCTTCTGCAACGTGCTCATCGGTCTGTGGGAATTCTGGTGCGGAACCTTGAGGCACCGCCAGTGTCTGCTCTAAATTTTTAGACTTCGAATTGTTTTGAATGATTGGTTCTGGGGATTCTTGAAAACCCCAATAATAATGATCATTCTCGGTACAACTTATAGGAGTATCCTTGCCTATTTTCCGTATTTGATCTACGTGTCTTTCCCAAAAGCGGCCATCGTCCAGTCGGATTGTATAATGTAATTGTCCCTTTTTTTTCTACTACTCCAAACTTCCACTTCACGTTCCCGAAGTAATTTCGACAGGCCACTCTCTCTCCACACGAGAATATTTTCAGTGTTTTGCTAGTATCGTGACAGGGATTGCGGTTTTCTTCCCGCGGAATTATTAGGTCTAGTCTAGTAAGTATTTTGCGTTTAAGAAACAGTTCCGCCGGGGTTTTGTTTGTTAGCGCATGAGGCATTGACCTATACTGTAACAATAATTTGTTTAAAGCGAAATGTACATTGGTAGCTTCGCAGTTCGTTCGTTTTAACGCTTGCTTAAAAGTTTGGACAAAACGTTCTGCCTGCCCATTTGTTGCAGGGTGGAACGGAGAAGTGCGTTTATGTTTGATTTCATTCATGCAAAAGAATTGTTGGAATTCCGAAGAAATAAAAGTTCTACCGTTATCGGTTACTACTACTTGTGGTAAACCATACGCAGCAAAAATCTCTCGTAATTTCATAATTGTAGTTTTTGCAGTTATATCTTTAACGATATGCACTTCGGGCCATTTCGAAAAAGCGTCTATCATTAGCAAAAACATTTTCCCTAAAAATGGCCCTGCAAAATCAATATGTATTCGTTGCATTGGTGCTGATGGCGCCTCCCATACATGTACTTCAACCTTTGGAGGGTTGTTCCTATGCTCATTACAATTTACGCAATTTCGCGCTAGTTGTTCTAGATCTTTATCAATTGTTGGCCACCAACAATGACTACGAGCTAAACTTTTCATTTTTACAACTCCGAAGTGTCCCGAATGCAATTCTTTTAGCACTTCAAATCGAAGTATTTTTGGAATATAAGCGCATGGACGCATAATAACATTATTTTGTAAGCTGAACTCGTTTTGCTCAATACCGAAACGTTTCGATTTGTGTATTTGCTTCCCTGTCTGTAACGCTTGCAGTAAATCACTGACATCTTTATCTTTTCGCGTTTCTGCTGCTATTCTGTTCGCAGTTACAGGTAAGGTTTCGATTACTTCCACTTGATACGCGTCCACTACATCCGCTATCATTTGGGGTGCGTCAACGGGAAGTCTGGACAAACAGTCCGCATTTGCATGTTTTTCGGATTTCCGATATTCAATTTCGTAATTAAATTCTTGTAAAAAGATTGCATAATGCTGCATGCGCATAGCTGAATAGATAGGCAAACTTTGATAGGGTGAGAAAATCTGTACTAGTGGTCTGTGATCTGTAATTAATGTAAATTTTGTACCGTACAAAAATTGAACAAACCTTTTAACACCGAAAACTATTGCGAATGCCTCCTTGTCAATTTGAGAATATTTTGCTTGTACTTTTGAAAATGTTTGAGACGCAAATTGAATAACTTTTTCAGATCCGTCAGGATATCGGTGCGACAGCACCGCTCCAACTCCGTACGAACTCACATCTGTCGCTAAGACTAATGGTAAATTTGGGTCGAAATGAACTAACACTTGATTACTTGTAAAAGCTACTTTGGCTTTGTTAAAAGCTGTTTCGCATTCGTTAGACCATATGAACGGTACCCCTTCTTTTTGCAGTAGCTTATTTAAGGGCCGTAGAATAGAGCTTAAATTCTGTATAAATCTCCCGTAGTAGTTAATCATGCCCGTAAAAGCTCTAACTTCCGATATATTTTTTGGTCGCGGCATTTTATGTATTGCCTCGATTTTTTTCTTTTCTTTATGGATGTCTATCCTGTCAATTTCGTATCCGCAGTAATCTACTTTATCTAAGAAGAACTTTGACTTTTCTAAATTTATTCGAATATTGAATTTATGTAATCTACTTAGTACTTCTTCAAGTCGTGTAAGATTCTTTATCTGTACTACCTATAATCACGATGTCGTCAAAGAAAATTGCGACGCCTGGAATTCCCTCACGGAAAAAATTGCTATGGTTGTTACTACAATATTCTCTATGTTTGGAAAAGAAATTTATATGACTTCAAATTACATTGATACTACATTGAATGTAGTTGTTAAGATATGCCCATCCATACGGTTATCACAACCGTAGTTCTATCGATAAGTAATATTCGATTAGAATATCCAAATATATGGTTGCCTCAACCGAACAATTATTGCTATCTCTCAATATGGTCTTAGAACAAATAGTATGTTTGAGAGATGTATAGGTATATGGTTACACAGCACTGAGACTAACGGTTGCACTATCACCAGTAGCTTTTTATAACTAATGTTACCGCCAAAATTCGCGAGCCGCGACTCACAAAAGACCTGCTGCGAAAATCATAGATATCATAAGTAGTATAAAGTGTTGTATTGTGCATATTTGTATTATGGACGAAGCTTGCGAGCTGTATCTTCAAAGTATAGGATTGAGGCCTTAATTCCGATTTTCAAAGGTAAGATATAACGTTCAAAAAACATTTTTAGGTTACAGTCGAGGTTACAGTTTATGTACTGGTCGATGAAATAGGAAATTTTATTAATCTTGTAATATTCTTTTGTGTAATTATTCCTCCTTTCTTTTATATAATAATTGTGATATTTTTCGCTCATCAATACGTATTAGTTATAGCAACTGTAGTACTATGGAAGTGTCCTATATGTAACATCGGTTGTAACATCCATATAACAATAACCATTGCTAAGGATGGAGTAACCATATAGGACACTTCCATAGTACTACAGTTGCTATAACCAATACGTATTGATGGGCGAAAAATATCACAATTATTTGGTTGTGGCAACCGTAACTTTTTTTCCGTGCTGTAAAATATTTTCTATTTCGCGCTGCCATATGGTAGGACCCGGCGCAATCCCGTACATCATACGATTTACTTTGTATAGTCCTTTGAATGTACTAATGGTTAATAACTCGCGATCTTCCGGTGCTACTTCTAATTGTAAATATGGTTGTTTCAAGTCAATTTTTGAAAATTTTTTTCCGTTTCTAAGTTTCAAAAACAGCTCGTCAACCGTAGGAAAGGGGTACTCATAGACTATTAAATGTGGATTAAGTGTAGCTTTGTAATCCCCGCAAATACGTATACTTCCGTCCTTTTTCAAAATTGATACTATCGGTGTAGCCCATTTTGACGACTCGACTTTCTCAATTACCCCTGCTTTTTCTAATGTATCAAGCTCTTTTTCGACTAACATTTGTAATTTAAAAAGAACAGGACGAGCTCGCACGAAGACCGGAGACGCGTCTTTCTTTAATTTTAAATGTATCTGTATGTCTTTAATTGCAGCAAATTCTGAAGAACGAATGTTCTAATACTTATCTAATATTGTTTGCAATTCATTTAGTGTATTGACCGTTGCGTTCTCTGTTGTGTTCTCTACTAAACTGTTCTCTACCTGCATCGCAGACCAGCAAGTCATAGCAATTCAATTGTCTAATCCATTCGCGTCCCAACAATGGTTTCCTAACCCCTCCGACCAGATAAATATTCAATCTTTTTACATCGGAGTTATGCCTAACGCTTACTGTAATGTATCCTCTGCACTTAAGTGCGCGCCCGCAAAACGAAATTAGTCGCAACTCCGTATGGCAAATGGTCGCTGTTGGGAAAAGTTTGGTCGCTTCGGACTCACTAATTACCGTAACCGCCGCTCCACTATCCAACTCGAATTTGATTGATTTGCCTTCAACATCTAAAGACACCAAGAACTTGTCGCGGTAATCCGCATGTTCCAAACTGAGCATTTCTTCTAAATTATTAGTGGAGGACGTATTCTGGAAGCAGACCACACGTTGCGATTTAAAGTACATGCACTGGCCAAATGGCCTTTTCCGCACCTAAAACATTTTACATTAGAATGCTTGTATTGTTTACTATGACTATTAGCTTGATTAGTGTTATTACATTTAACGGCCACCTGCCCTGGCTGTTTATCACCTGTATTTTTCCTCTGGAGTTTCTTTCCTGCATGTAGCCATCTCCTCCACGTGGTATTCGCCGGATCGAAAGCCTCGATCGTAAGGGATCCGGGTATAACCGGTTGCGTAGTCGGCTGCAACATGTGCCTCTCAGACTCGCAGACTTAACTCAATAATTGTACCAGCAACCTTGCCGTTTCCCTCGTAGTATGCCCTGCACAATGAGTACGTGTTATTCACACGATCCCCGTAATACGCTTCGTGCGCAAGCACGTGTCGTTCACGAGATCCGTCGCACAGGAAAAAAATTAATTTCCATATGTATCATGACGATCCCATCCTCGTCGCCAAACTGTTGTGTATTGGGTATCGTCAGAATTAAAAGACAGTGTATATTGCAATGTATATTATATTACTAACACGGATTACAATATTACACGTTATGTGCAGTGCGCGTGAACACGACCGGCGATCTCGAAGTTCTCGAATCTTCTCCTTGTTTTCCGCTATCGGAATTTCGTTTCGCGTAGGAACGCACGCGTGTCGCACGCTGATTCGCGGAGCCTTCGCGCGTGCTCCCAAGACGTGGTGCTATAACGCGCACTTATTTAATTTGCACTCTAGGCGCGTATCTAACACATTTTAATCTATTTTTGATTACTGACATATTCTATTTTTAGATGACGAATATGATAAAGATAGTGGATCAGAATATGTACCATCAGAAAAGGAAGATTCAGGAAATGAAGATTCAGATAATGAATTGCCGCAATCATTTGATAATAAATTGTCACAAAAACAGATACTAAATTTAAGCAAATCTGTATCATCAGCATCAAGTTTTGATGCCTCAAAAATTAATGGTGATGCATCTATATGCAACGATGAACTAATGTATGTAGAAAAGTCCAATGCAAAATCTTATAAACAGTACTATTGTATTTTTTGTTCGAAGTTGCAAACACAATTTGCACGACATCTAAGAACGGTACATCGCAATGAACCGGATGTAAAGAAATTTACTGCTTTACCTAAGACAGATCCAGAAAGAAAACAAATTATATCATCTTTACGAAAAAATGGAAATTTTAAATTTAACACAAACTCGAAACTGAATAACGGACAACTTATTGTATCTAGACGGCCAAATGATAAATATAACAAGCTTGCTACTGATTTTACCGCTTGTTCAAAATGCAAAGGATATTTTACAAAACATTCAATACGCCATCATTCTCGAAAATGCTTTAAAAAGAATTTTAAAAGAATAAATGTATTATGGTAATGGGTAGAAGAATTACGTGTAGGCTTCATCCTAAAGTAAATGAAACTGTGAAAAAAATGATATTTCCAGTAATGCGGGAAGACGATGTTACACGCATTATAAGATATGATGAAATACTGATAACATATGCAAATCAAATGTACGAGAAGTACAGATCGCAACATCATCACGATATGATACGTGCCAGGTTACGTCTCCTTGGTCGCTTTCTCTTGGCACTAAAAGACATAAATAAAAATGTAGAGAACTTTGATTCAATCTATCGTCCAAAACTATACGATGATTGTATCCATGCAATTAATATAGTTGCAAGATATAATAGTGAAGAACGAGTATATGGCGCACCCTCAGTAGCATCCACCTTATCTACTTTAATTAAATATATTGGAAATTTATTTATTGGAGAGTGTATAAAGAAGGAAGATACAGAGAAAAAAAATCTGGCTAAAGACTTTTTAAAATTATTAGTTGTGGATATTTCGACAAGTGTAAACAGAACTGTGATGGAAACACAATCTGCTCAAAAGAGACATAAGAAAGTTAATCTTCCATCATTGGAAGATATAAAAAAATTATATAAGTATTTGGAGAAAAAGCGAACTAAAGCTTATATGGCATTACAACAATCCTTTTCTTATTACGATTGGCTTTCTTTAGCAGAAGCTACATTAGTTTCTATACTAGTGTTTAATAGACGACGTCAAGGAGAAATGGAGAGAATCCTTATTGCAGATTTCCAAAATTATGAAAGAATACATAAAGATATGAACAATGATGTTTATTCATCATTATCAGAAAAAGACAAAAAAATCGCTGAAAAATATATTCGATTTTGTATAAGAGGAAAATTGGGACGCACAGTTCCCGTTTTATTATCAAGTGATTTATTCAATAGTATTAATTTGATTTTAAAATTTCGGAAAGAAGCTAAAATACCCACCAAAAATCCCTATGTATTTGCATTGCCTGGTTATAACAAAGAAAGATTTAAATATCTAAGAGCTTGTATTTTGTTGCGGAAATTTTCTGAAGAATGTAATGCAATTCAATCGTGTACTTTACGTGGAACAGTGTTGCGAAAACATGTGGCAACATATTGTATTTAGTTAAATCTTAATGATATTGATATATCAGATCTTGCCAAATTCATGGACCATAATGACAAGATACATAAGAATTATTATAGACAACCTGTGGCAACCACGGACGTAGTAAAAGTCTCACGATACTTAGAAATGGTTCAAGGAAATGATGATTCGGACAGTAGTAACTGTTCAGAAAATGAAGTAGATGAGAACAGCTGTGACAAAGTAAACTCGAACGAAAGTACATGTTCAAGTAATTATATCTTATTTCTATATTTCTAATTTATTTGCATGTAAATCTACAATATTTTTTAAAAATAACCAATTCTTTCAGTTACAAATTTACATAATGAATTAAATGATGACGCGAATAATAATCAAGGAAATAGTAGTAACGAAAAACGCAAACGGTCTAGTAAGTATTCTACATAAATTTATCAAATATATGAAATATTGCTAGATATGTTTAATTTTTAAAAGAAATTTTAAAATGCATTGTTGCTTTTTATTTCATATATATTTCGTCGAAATTGTGTATAAATTATTATAAGAAATTTTAATATAAAAATGTTTAGACTTCATATTTATGATTCCATTTTTTAGAATAATATTTATGGTTTAATGATATTTAAAAAAAAAATGTAGGGGAGAGGGTTCCCATACGGACCGGGCAAACCATACCGACCCTCCGCGTTTCTCAGAGACGGCGCGTTGCTGGTTGAATTTTTACTAGTGTCACTGAAAAGCGGTTATCCTACTGACAATTTGAACGTATGTTGTAATCTTCACAAATAATTTTGTTTGAAGTTATACGTCGTGATATGTTTTAACAACCGTGCAGTTTTTTTCTGACTTATACGGAAAACGAGTTAAATGTGTTTGTAAACTTGAAAAGCATCGAAAGGATAAGTCATTTTTATTAGTTATGGACCATGTTAAATATATGCCATGGATATTAGATCGCATTAGTTGTCATATGGGAATGGCGAGTCGATATGTGAAAAAAGTGGGAATGGTCCAAAAGCGACCGCGAGATCTTTGTCCAAAAGCGACCCCCTTTTTTTGCATCGTAATTGTCTATAGTATATTTTCGGAGAAAAAATGTGTTTAATAATGATTTCTGTCAATCA